TGTGTCAGCTTCAAACTTTACTGAATACAGTAGTTTGTCTATGCTGATGCATTTGCAGGCTCTCTTTGCTAAAGGGGAAAATAAACCGGAGAGGAGAACACCAGCTTGCATGTTCATAAACTGGGTCATTCATGAGCAGACAAAAAGAAAGGAGAAGAAAGAGGAGGGTGGGGTGGTTCTCAATGCAGTTTATACATTCGCAAGATTTTGTACAGATTGAGATGGATCCATGTAAAATAAATCCTGCCATCTCTCTCTTCCTCTCCTACACAGACAGGTACTCTCAAAAAGCTATTGATGGATTATAGTCAGCCTAATCAAGACAATTACAGCATCATTAACATACACTAATATTTACACATTCTTTTGCCTCTTTTAAGCTAGTCTCTATTCCCATATGTAAAGTAACCAAAAGGAATAAAAAAGTAACATGTTCAGGAGACACTGGACATTCTCTCTCACCTGAAAGTGAGAATAAAAAAGACATCCAGTCTGGTTACAAAAGGCACGATTACTTTGAGATGAACTGGACATGCTTTGGTGACTGATCTTGATACTGACTGAGATATTTTTAGATTTTTAAAACAGAATGTTATATTGCATACGGTGGACATTAATATACTGTCTTTCTAAACATGCTTTAAAAATGGACTGTAGCATTTCTTCTACAAAGTAGGCTTATTCATTGTGGAGAAAATCATTCAGTGTGGTGTAAAAGCATGTGAATTTCTTTTTGTATAATTTAGGGGAGAGGGCATTGGGTTCTGTTTTCCTTCTGACTCAATTTTTTAAAGTTATGGGAGTAGCAAATCCATTCCTCACGGAAGTAAAGACTATCTATTTAAATAATATACCACAGGCTAATTCTGACAGTGCTAATGTAATTTTCTGAATCAAGATAATTTATTTAATGTACTTTTTAAATAAGCAAAGTTCCCAGGTCTTATATATTCTTAAAGGTCTCTTTGGTAAATATATATATTTGCATGATATATGTAAGAGCTGTGCAGACGTCTATATAGTAGGAAAGTCATTTATATACTTAACTACTATAGTAACACATTTACATAGCCTCGCTTTAAGATGAAAATGTTTTATTATGTTGACTTTTTAGGCTCAAATACTTTTAAAGGTAATACCCTTTGTATCACCTCTCTCTTCTCAAAATGACCTTGGTTCTTTCATTACGTAGGATATTTAATTACCAATGTCAAAATTAAATTATGTTAGATATTGTTTTAAAGCCACAAAGAGAACAGAATTAATTTTAGAAAAAAAAAATACACCTTAATCCTCTTTTTCAAGCATAACTTGTATTACCATGCATTGTATTTCAATGTAAGAAGAACTTGGAATTTTTAAAGATTAAAAATATTTATTCCCATGTAATATTTTAGGATTTTTTGCTCTATTTTGTTTTTAGGGCATGGTCTTTAATCAGGATGTAAATGTGTACACTTAGAAATTATTACCATAGTGTTAACTTTGGCAGCCTCCTCTAACTCATTTTGACTTATAAAGAATAGGGAAAGAAGAAATCTCATGGAAGAAACTTTGTCTAATTTCATGGAAGCCTACATTGTTTCAACCTGCCTTCACAAAAGAACATTGTGATCAAATTATGCAGGAACTTCTGAACATAACTAACACCTTAAAATAACAGAGCACAGAAGAACATAGTGATCAAATGGATTAGCCTTTGTGTTCCAAACACCAAATCACCAAATCACTTATTCATGAGTCCAGCCTGGAGGCTGGATCCCCAGTAGACAAATGAACCCTATCCCATGCTCCAGGATCACCACCATCTAGCTTGGCTTACCCAGTGGAGAGCACATTCACATTACAAAGTGGAGAATAGTCTGCTCCATTACTCTGAGTCCTAACCTGAAAACTGTTAGCCATCCAGGGTAGTTGGTGCATTCAGTTCATACTCCACACTCATGAAACTGTAAAATAAAATAAGTGTCTACACCAGTCTATCTAGATAAACAAGGATGAGTTGAGGTGGTTCTTTCACCATTATACAATTATTTGAAATAACCGCGTGTACTTTACAAATCTCTAAATTGGTTTAATTTTTCATCCTTTGCTAAAAGATCAGTAGGTAATCAGGCCCTTTAAGGAGTGGTTTTAATTTAAAATATTCTGGATTTCATTTCAGGGAGTCTGGAAGGATTTTCAAAGCACAGGATATTTTCAGAGTGAATGAAAATTACATCTTAAATGGTATTTGTCAACTCACATCCTCCTAACAATACCGTCACTAAGATTTTTTTTTTTTTTGTAAACTATGATTTCCATTAACAGGACAAAAGTGTCCACTTGTCTCTTTAAGAAGGTCCTGCTGTTCATCTCTGTGAAGTGACACCTGTGTATAAATCCACAAAGTAAAATAAAATCCAAGGGTCAATTTTTGAAGGAAATACTCAGGGAAAATTCATGGTGGGATAAACAGATGAAATTGAATTCTGTACATATTTTAAATAACAACATCCATGAGGATCCCCAAGTGTTGCTACAGAAAATCACACTGAAGTTCTAGTAATATTGCTTTCTAGTAGAGCAATAATCAAAGACACCCCTTTCTGAGTTGAACCCCATTCTGTGTTATAATTTCTTAGGTCTTTCAGTGTTTTACTTTATTATATTTTGTAAACAATTCTATAAATATTAAACCATTTTACAGATGAGGAAAATTAGGCTCAGAGAAATTAAATAGACTTAAAAAATAAATAGCTAGAAACTAGTAGAGTTCTTTCAGATATTTAAACTCAGATATTTCTGATTAAATTTCCATGTTCCTCTATATTATATGGTCTTCAAGCATAATGCATGGCCTAGACTACCTTATACTTTGTTGGTTGAAGTTTTTATATGAATAATTCAATTCTTACATTTTGCAAACATGAAAATTTCTTAGGATGAAATCACAAATAGCTCTTTTCTTTTAAGGACAAATAGTTTATTCTTATATCTATTTTTATCTTTTCCATATTTAAGACTTTACATAAAAATATAACCATTTGTAATCCTAAACATTTGGAACTTTTTTTCTCATAGAATAACAAAATATTCTTAATTAAAAACTGAAACTTTTGTACTAACAAGAAAGTTCCACAGCCATTCAGACTATTACTCAAAATACAGTATGTATAAAAAGAAAAGTATACAAAAAGTTGATAATTACCCCAAATAAAAATCAATTTGGCATTTGTTTGTAGTTATTCATATCACTTTTCTCAACTTCAAAGAAACAGCATCTAAATATTTGTCCAGTGTCCCCAATTTTGGTTTTAACTGTAGCTATTTAGCTTGTAAAGCACCATGCTGGCCTAATTTTCAAGCTTTAGACCTTATTAGTGAACAATTTCTATATTTAGAACCTCATATTAGTGCTTGAGTTTTCACATGCCTAATTTTTAGTGCCAAGCCCCTGATTTGGGTCCTTAAATGCATATTTCACGCAGCCAACTATTTCTTCTTGTAATTGGATTAAGTTGTCTATTATAGATCATAAAGTAGATAAGATATACCAAAACTGTTTATATAAAAGTTTAAGACCCTAAGTTAGCATAGTTTCATTTAAATTATTATTGTAATCCCACAAAAACCCCGAAGTCATCTTGAGCAATTGGTTAGGTTTATAAATTAGGTTACTAAATTAAGCAGATCAAAAATGATACCGGTGATTCTTTGTCTTGAATTAAGAAAACTTGTATTTATGATAATCGTTAAAGATTTGTAGCACCAAAACTTGGCAACCATCCAAGATATCTGGTATCTAAATATTTGGCTTTCATAACAGTAGAACTGAAGCTAAGCTTAGAAAGCAGCAAGCTTATCCTGTCATTGATGCGGTCCTGTAGCTCAGGGTCACAGAGAACCTAGGATTCCTGTGTTACCTTCACTGTGTTTAATTTGAAAGTTGCATAAATCATGGTATTGTCTTCTGGTGGAATTCTCAAATAGAACTACAATTAAGAGTCAAGTATCTATTTATATGAAAATCCAACTTTTTTTTTCAAATATGGATGTGCATCCATTTGAGAAATAAATAACGTCTATAGGTATTTGTAGAGTTAGTGCCAGTGGTTTTGAAAACATAGATGGGAAAGGTGGTATATGAATCCAACAAGGCTCTTTATTTCATTTCGAAGTTATGCTCAGCAAACTGTCTCTCCACCTCATGTTGGTCATCTGGTTTACCTATAATCTGCAACAGCAGCACCTCTGCTAATGTCATGCTCAGATTGAAATCACATGCCCAATGTGAGATACTTTTTGATGAACTGGATCAAAGGGGTCTCTTGAATGGAACATGCAGTGGGAACATGGCAAGAGATGCGCTGGTTGCATCTGACAGTGTCTAAAACCAAGTCGATGAAGTCTCCCAGACAAGCCCAAGTCAAACGAGCAGACTGTCTTCCAATGGGAAAGCTCCAATTCTTCACTTCCCATAACGACACAGAACAGAGATTCCTCCTTGAGCCACCTCATTGCCTTGCCTGGGGGCTTTCTGAAGTCTGTAGCCCATTCCCATCCAGAAACTGCTTGCTCCTTACTCTCTCCCTGCTCCTCCTCTCTGAGGCAAAAACAGACAGAACAGACCTCTTCCAACTCGTGTCTCTCAAAAAATGCATGGGTTTCTCAAGTAGAATAAATCCGGGTGAACTTTTATCCAAAGCAAAAGCATTCCTCAACACTAAAGCACTCATGGGAGACAAAGGGAAACGCATCTCCAGGGAGTTAACCCTAACAGCAGAGCAGAGAAAAAATCCACATGTCTATACAGAAGATGCTGGCTTCTTCAGTTAGGATTCATTTCTGCTTTTCTATAAAAGAATTGGTTAGACTCTTTCCTGGTTTTCCCAAGGAATGTAAGTCTCTCTCTCTCTCTCTCTCTCTCTCTCTCTCTCTCTCTCTCTCTCTCTCTGCAATAGGAAACTTCCATTGTTCAGGCATGGTGACATCATCTTGTGATGAGTTACCTACAAGCCTGGCCCCAATAGCCCACACATCTGACAGCCCGCTGTGGACAGAGACCAGGCATCCATCTTGAAGGTTACAGGTTCTGTCCACTTGGAATATACTCACCTTCACCTTCTCTAACCACTGTAGGGAGTGGACGTTCATCTTGAGAGACTCAGATCCTTTATCAGGTGCGTGCAACAGGTTTCCCTGGTCCCCAGAATCTGGGGATGATGAAACATCAACCACATTAAAAAACTTCTCAGTATTATTATCTCAGTACTTGAATAACTATTTATTATGGAGCCTAGCACGTACTAGACACTATTATAATATAAGACAAGGAGCACAACTTTCCAAAATGGTTACTAGGTTTTTTAATTCCTGACTTCATTATCTTGGGGTATTTCATATAGAGCATAATGGGTATTTAATAAAACAGAACAAAAAAAAAACAAATTAAGTCGGGTGCTTTCTTTTATTAATGCTCTCATTCTCCCAAGAACTAATGAGAAAAATGAACATTCTAAATTCCAGAGAAAGAAGAAAGAAAAACTTACAGAGAAATGTTTTTAAAATAGAAATCCTATATCTACCTAGTAGTATTTTCTTAGTATTTTTTTTAACTAAATAAAATGTTTAAAAAATAGGTATGTGATGCCTGAGAACTGCTGCACTTTTGGACTTTTTGATAATGTGAGACAATAAATCCCTTTTATTGTTAAAAAATATGTATGTGAAAGAATTATCAGTAACTAGAGGCTCTTTGTGACTGTATTATTTATATGCAGAAGACAAAATTAGAACTCAAAAAGACAGACACTCTGTGATCATCCACTTTGATGAAATTATTTGGGAATAACTTCAAAGAGTGGCAATTTTCTTCTCATTTGGTATGCGGACAAGATCTCAATGCTTTGGTCAATAAAGACACATTCTATAAGGTTGCTAAGGCATGTTCGTTTGACAGAGTTGGAATTATAACCCAGAATTCTGCCTGCAGACTTCACACCATAATGGACATAATGACATAAGGACATATGGACATATGGACATAGGTGACATAAGGACTGGACGTGCCCATGGCCTGAACTGCGAGACAGGAGGGATGTACTTCCTGGTACAAGAACTGTCTCATTCGCAGCATAAAAGTTTGATTAAAGGGAATAATTTAGATGCAGCTTAAAAAGTGGAAAACATGTTTTTGGGGAATTCTGACCGACAGCAGCCACTGTTTTCCCATAAAGCCCAGGCTTTTTTAATGTTCGGAATGTGTAACTAAATGCCACTCTGAATGTAGAAGAGTGGTTACCAGAGGTGGGAAGGGTGGGATGGAGTGAGGGACAGAAGGAGTTTGGATAGTGGGCCAAAATACAGATTAAAGGAACACAGTGGTCGGGTTAGAGTTGACAAAATCTCCTGTACAGTTTACAAAGATTTAAAAGAGGAGTTTGAAAGCTTCAAAGAAATGATAAAGAGCAGAGAGTGTTGCAGGTGTCTGTTGAAGTATCACACTGGACCCCATTCATATGTACAATTATTACATTTTAAGCAAAAGTAAATTTTTTTTTTCATCCAAACAAAATCTCCTGGGTGTTTCACTTGTCAATAACCTCGGTCCACTTAGTCAACACATCTCAGCAAAGCTCACCTTCACCCCACTAGGATTCTTTCATCAAATTGCCAGCACCACCTAGGCACTGGAGCGTGGACTTCCTGACCATCCTTTAGCTTCATTCTTCTCCCCATCTCTATTGCTGTAACCTTATTCCCGCTCCAAAGCCTTCCCCTGAGCAACTCCATGGCCCTTTCATGGTCTTCTGGTTCCTAACCTTTCTTCACCCAGACCCAGTTCACCCTGAATACATTTGCAGCTGTAGCTGAACTCTCTAAGAGACAAATGGAATCATTCCCTCCCTCTGCTGAAATGTCATCGTTGCACTTCTGCCCTACTGCCGTAGGGTCAGGTACAAATTCAGCAGGCTGAAACAAAAAGCTTGCACTGTCAAATATGGTAGCCATTAGCTACATCTACATTTAGCTTTTGACATGTAGCTAGTGAAAACCGAAATAAGTGCTCTAAGTGCAAAGCATGAGCCTGATTTCCAAGACAGCCTAGAAAAAGAATGTAAAATATGTCTGTAAGATTTTTGCATTGATTGCATGTTGAAATGGAAATATCATTTAGGCCGACTGGGATAAGTAACATATATTATTCAAATTAACTTCACTCTTTTTTTTTTCCTTTCCCTTAGTTTCCTGTAATGTGACAAGCAGAAAATTTCACATTGCATATGTGGCTTCTACCAAAATATATGTTAATCTGCACTGATTAGTTGAGCTAAAACTCTGGGTAGCTTTTGCAATGCACCACTCAGCCAGGAAGGACTCTCCTCCACTTCTCCACTCCCATGGCCGGCCTTGGTAAATGTTTCACCTTGAAATACTCAGCTTTCTTACAAAGCCTTCACTAATGTTAGTGCAGGGTGTAAGGAGCTCTGGTATCTGGCCACACACTGGCTTCCATATTCCCACAGTCTACTCCTCAAACATAATATCATAGCGCTACTCAGCTTTCCACCTCTATCATAAATACTTGGATAAATTAATGTATAAAGAAAAAAAAGGTTGATTTTTGTCTCCTAGTTTTGGAGGCATCGATCTCTGCTGCAAGGGAGTGGAGGTTGGAGGTACAGGACCAGCATCTCATGGTCAGGGCGTGTGGAAAAGTGATACTGTTCATCTTGTGAGGGGGGTACAAAAAGAAGAAGGAGGATGAGGAAGATAAGGGGGGAGGAGGAAACAAGCTACTACAGTCACCTTTGAGGGCATATCCCCAATGAACTAAAACTTCCCATCAGGCCCCACCTACTAATAGTGAGAAGCTACTAATAGGAACAAGCTTTAAACACACGGCCTTTGGGTTACATTCCAGATCAAACTAAAAACAACTAAAAACAACTGCCTTCCTCATAGCTGATACCTATATAGCACTTCCTATGTGCTAAGTGCTGTTCTCAGAGCTTCACTTGTATCCATTCAGTCCTTATAACAACCCTGAAGGAGACCCCAAGTATTACTGTATCTTAGCAGCAATGCTATTCAGTAAATATTGTTCTCATGTTAGAGATGAGGCATACAAATGCAACATTACTAGTCATTTCACAAAATTCTGGAAGATGCTTCTAGAAATTCTATGTTAAGAGTCATTTAAAATGACAGCAAGTCCCCACCCACCCCCCCACAAACAAAGGTGAATTTCCCTAAAAGTACCTGCCTAGCAGCAAGCAAGACCATACACATCCACACTTCAGTAATTGAGCAGTCCTCAAAGACTATTCTAGGATCTACCAGGTCCCATTCAGGATTCTAGACCAACTCCCTGTGCCCCAGGTTCATGGATCTTCAGCACCTAATGACAGGTACCTCCTAGGATTCCCAGAAAACACTTTCTTTCAACCCTGGGGTTCATACTCTTGACCCAAAAGACATGGAGACACTTAAATGATATAGGGTGGTAATGGAGTTGAAGGCAGAAAGGCTATCTTATGTTTCTTTGCACCATCAAAGATTTCCACCTTGTGCCGAGTCTGTTTTCATGAAGTCATTTATTCATTCTGCAAACATTTACTGTGAACCTGCTAGGAGCAAGGCATTTGATTATAACTCTTAGAGAAAACAAATAAAATATTTTTTTTCTGGTGCTTGCTTTAAAAAATATGCTTATGCACAAATGACTATGAGACCAGGAATAATGAGCTAAACTACACGAAAAACAAGCTTGCCAATCTTACAAGTCTCTATGTAGAAAGGAGTGGGAGACAGCTAAGAAAATTTTAATGGAAGAGATAGCCTTGAAATGGGGCCTTGAAAATAAGTGACTGGTGATTTGGGGTTTCTTTATACCATATATGTTTCATTTAATACTGTCTATGTATACACACACACACACACACACACACACACACACACAGCAATACCTAAACTAAGTATAAAATTGGGCTTTTTGCTTCTTATATAATTCATTATGCATTTCTTTACTTTTAGAGTATCAAATAATTTAACCAATATTACTTAAGTGGCTATGAGATATTTAGTTATACAAGAAATCTAGATATAAACAAAGGTTTCAATCTGTAAGGATTTTACAACCTAATGAGACACTAGTCATTTTAACAGCTATATATTGAGCATTTACTGTGTGTCAGGTGTTGAGCTAAGCACATTTTAAAATATCAATTCATATATGTCTTGAAACAACTAATATTATTACGAATTCACACACAAGGAAACTGGGGTGTAGTGGGGGAACTGCAGAGATGTTTTAATACAAACAGATTATGATTGACATTACAATAACTAGGGGGACAAATCTAAAATCTGGGCAATCCATCCTAAGGAAACCATGCTGATTGATGGCTTCTTTGTTCTGCTTATTGACCATGGATGCTGAATTACTAAGAAGAAAAAGTTTATTCCTCCTTCTTATAGTACCCACACCTTTATTATGATATGCCAGTCACATTTATGTAAAAATTGCAATTTTTTAAAAGAATCATATTTTAAACATTTAATTTAGAGCAACATGCTTCTACCCCCATAAATCTTTTAAGCAATAGTCATAATATCTTTAAGGTACTTTGACTTTAATATATTTGTCAAATCCTTTCAAAATACGCTTTTTGGAGTATCTCAACAGTTGTTTGAGTCATGTGGGTAGCTGAAACAGTCAATGGAAATAAAATCAAATGCAACTGTGTGAAGGGGCATAAATTCCATTGACAGAGGGGTCTAGCCCAAGCCAGGGAGCAGCGTTTTGGCTCCAGATTTTCTCAGATGCTGTTTTTATGACCTTCTGCAAGCTTTGGAGGAGACTAGAAAGACAACAAGATATGAATTTAACCCCTGTATTCAAAGCCATCAAAGAAACCAGCAGAGAGATAAACCATCTAATAAGGATGAAAACAGTAGGGAGAACAAATGTGACTTCCTATCTTCAGGGTGCTCTCTAGGCGATGATAAAGAAAATCATGGAAGTTTAGGGGTTGTGGATCTAAAGTTGATTTATTAAACAGTCAGAAGATTTTTTTGCCCGATATACTAGCTGTAAATACATAAAAAAACCTGCAGGACTTCTCTGGAAATGTCTCTGTATTGATTTCATTGTTGCTGGAGTCAGATATGGATGTTT